CAACCTATGCGATTGTAATTGAAATATTCCGAGATAGGTCACAATGATTGTTAGGGTTGTCTTATAAATCATACATTAATAAAGTTTTACAGAGATTTAAGAAGGAAAATTGTTTAGCAAGTGTCGTTCCAATTCAAAAAGAGACAAATTTAGTCTCATTCAATGTCCTAAGACCGAATTGGAACGTAATTAAATAATAGTTATTTCTTATGTATCTCTTATGAGGAGTTTAGTGTATGCTCAGACTTGTACCAAAACAAACATTAGTTTTGTTATTGAAATGCTGGGCAGATATCAAATTAACCAAAGACTTGATTATTGAAAAGCTACAAAGAAAGTGTTGAGATACGTGCAAGGAACGAAATACCACATGTTCACTTATAGGAGATCTGATAACTTGGAAGTCATTGGATATTCAGATTCAGACTTTGCTGTATGTGTTGATACTAGAAAATTCCCATTTGGCTATCTGTTCATCTTGGCTGGAGGGGCAATATCATGGAAAAGTACGAAGTAATCCGTTGTTGTTGCATCCACTGTAGAAGCTGAGTTTGTGGCATGCTTTGAGGTAACAGTTCAAGGAAATTGGCTGCGAAACTTTATTTCAGGGCTTGAAATTGTCGACAGTATTGCCAAGCCGCTGAAACTTTATTGTGACAATTCTACGACAGTCTTCTTTTCAAAGAACGACAAGTACTCTAAAGGTGCTAAACACATGAAATTGAAGTACTTTGCCGTTAAAGAAGAAGTTCAAAACAAAAGGTGTCAATCGAGCATATTATCACCAATCTTATAATTGCAAATCTACTAACGAAAGAATTCCCACCAAAGACATTTAATGAACATGTCAAAAGAATAGGCATTATTGAAAATGATTATTGACGCTATGAAATTTATGTAATTGATACTTTGAGCTCGTTTATATATTTTTTTGACAAAATATTATTCATGTCATAACAGTTGATATGTGTACATGAATTGATTATATGAATGCTGATGTGATAATCTTTAACAAAATATTATTGAAATGTAGTTATTGAACTTATCATTACATGTCATGTTAGGTGGAGACTAATATTGTAGTACATGGAAGGAATTATGTCGAAATGATGATGTAAACTCGCCATAACTCTTATTAGTCTTTGCTTAAGGATGATATATTGTGACCAGTGTACGATGGAATTTTAGTTTTTCATATGCACATTATGTTATAAACCACATAACGATTTAATATTACATGAACCAAGTGGGAAAATATAAGACCAATTAATTTGGCCCAAGTAATATTATTAATAAACTGATTAATAGTGGTTAATTATTGCTGGATATTGAGAAGTGACTGTATAATAACTGTACACTTTGATGGAAAGTAGGTTGTTTTCTTTTGTGGTCCATGAAACCGTATCTCTCTGCCTATAAACGTGAATGAAACTCATCAAATTAAAACATTCAATTATAGAGAGGAAAAGAGAGAACGATTTTTATATTTTACTAGTTTCTATTTTGCAGATTTAAATATTTCAATTATTGTTATGGATCAAGTTATGTTTCTTGATCAATTAAATCTATATGTGAAAATCATGATTTCTAAAGATATTGGTATTATAGTTATTTAATTGCTTACATTCCTTTCTCGATCAAACTCTAGAGTGGCTATTCAGGAATCAATGGTATCCCATTGCTTAAAACATTCTTGAATATGGAAAACGATGCAAGCAGAACGTGTCATTTTAAAGTGTCCATAGTCGAAAATTAGAATGAAAAATGACATATGCTATCAACGTACGTAATAAATTTCCTCGACTCAGTGGTTTGGTGATCAGACTCTCTGGGAAGACATATTTCCACAATTAGAACCTAAATCAAAGGGGAAGAGATCACAGGCCTTCAATCAGAAAGATTACACGATCAATTATCACAGTGCTGCTACTTAATTCTATAAACACTAGTGAGCAATATAGGTGATAGAAGAGAAATCAATTTCTACAGCATGGCTTGTGCATTTGGGTGAACACTGATTGGACATTGGTATGCAGGATAAGGCAATACTCGATTAAGATGAGAAACAAGTTTATGTTTCGTTAGTTTTTTGTGCAGCAATGTCTAATGCTACATACACAACATGCTCTAATCAGAATATCGGATTATAGCATATCCTCTACAATCCCGCGGGAGTACCAATCTACCAGAAGGGCATGACTTAAAACTTGTAATATATGTACTCCATGCGTATCTTCATTTTTTTAAAAGCAATTCAGAAATTAAGAAAAATAGTTTCATTATAAAATGACAAAACGCAGAATTGAAATACAAGGCCTGACCTTTAAAGCTGCCTCAGTGGGCATTCCACTGGCTACAAACTTGTTTTCTGACTGTTAAACACTGGTATCATTGAATATTGCAACTATTTTTGCCATCAGCTGAAGATTAAAATCCATACAATCCATTGGCCAGTCCTGAATTTTACCATCAAAATGATTATAAGTGGTGCCATCCACTTTAAAAGTCCTAAGTGCTTGAACAATTTTCATCTTCCGAGTGCCAAGCCCAAGTGCCAACCAAGGAAGTTGTGATTGCAGCGGGTGAACCTTCTGGTATTGCGACCATTTCAAAGTAATACGTGCATTTCTCAAATGAAAACCACTTATTGCTATGGCTATTTTAAACAAGATTTCACATTGGTTTAGATCTTGTATTGTATCGTAGTATCTATTACCAATTGGTTAGTCATATTGCACTTGTTACGTCTCGCCATCGAAGCTCCTAGTGGAAACCACGTGGAGACATTGAGTCAGATTTGACAAAGTCAACAAAGATCCAATTGATCAGAATAAAGAAGTCAAAGAAGAAGCTGATTTCATTATTTCGAAGCTCTTGTATGGTCGAAGCCTTATCTCTATCCGACATCTATTGTCCACGTGAGTTGGTCCAACATCTATTGTCCACGTGACCACTACAAAAAATGGGGTCAACAACACTCATAAAGCTTCACTAACAAACGATTGCATTAGACTCAAACATGTGAACAACCTTGTGTACTAGAAAA